CTACTATTCGTTTATTGTGTTATTGATTGGTTGTATGTATGAATTGTCATTGCCTAATTGTCTTGTCTTTGCTAGTAATTTCATTTTTTTTAAGTAAATAGGCTTATTTTAAAAATACATACCCACTTAGACACGTTGAATTGTGTTTTAAGGGTCTTATTTCTGTTAGATTATAGACAGGACAATTGTATAATATTTTATAAGGAGATGTAGATGGAATTAGTTATTTTAGCCTCATTTAGAACTAAAAGATGAAATGATGAAATGGGTTACGATTGCTTTTCACGCCACTGCCCTCCCTTCTTCCCAGGTACCCGGTGCCTGTCTACCTGTCACTTCCCACTGCCCCAGGGCCCCTCACAACAGCAAGCCACCTGAGCCTCACCCTCCTGGCACAACCCTGTGTTCTAAACACATTGGATCCTCAACGTGCCATCAGATCCTTTCACTCACTCACGATCCATTTTCCCAGTCTTCTCACCTCAAAAAGTAGGATAGAGTTGTTCACTTGTTCGCCTCATTGTCTTAAAAATATTTTGACAGCAACATTTTAAAGGTACTGCCTTTATCTATCCAAAGACAGAATTTTAGGCACTGCCGCTTGTTGATGAGTAAGATATAAATCTCCCCCTGGAATAGCTCCGTCCTGCCCTTTAGATACTCCCACATCCATGGTCCGCTGCCTGTGGAGGTGGCCCTCATCACAGAGATCCTCAGCTCTTCAAGTAGGAGGCCAGATGTCGGTACTTTTATTTTGCAGATGAGAAAACTTCGGTCTTGGGAGGTTAAATGGGCTGTGCCGGGTTGAACTGTGGCGCTGGGAAGAGATCCCAGGTGTACGTTCAGTCCAGTTGATTCCCTGCCTAGTCAACACTTCCATTTCTGTCCTCGTAACCCTTGGTGTGGCTACAAGTGTACCTTGTGCAGATCCCTGTCCTACCACTTGAACTGAAGTCCACAAAATGGGATTAAGTAAGGTCAGGACGCATGTCTTACTTGACTTTATATTCCTAGTTAATATAGTGTGGCATTCACAGCTTACTCAGTAGTAGGTGAATGAATGAATGAATGAACAAACGAACGAGTTTTAGCAGCATTGATTCACTTCAAGAAACTGGTTACAATAAATATACCTGATAGTCAGACAAATAGAGATTTTTTTGAAAAAATATATGCATTTTAAAGGATCCTTTCATACTTGTTAATAAAAGGAGAATCTATTATAAAAACAGTGGGATGCATAGACTGGTCAGAAAACAGGCCAGGCACGGTGGCTCTTGCCTGTAATCCTAGTACTTCAGGAGGTTGAGGCGGGAAGATCACTTAAGGCCAGGAGTTCGAGAAAGTAATGTAGAATTCGCATCATCATTGTAGAAATTAGTTTCTGAATGTATATTTTTAAACAATTATGAGAAATCTAGCTTTAAATACATTAAAATTTTGGTGAAATATATGCAGATAGCATTTTATTGTCTCTTTATTTAAAGCTTAAAAATACAAGTATATTTTCTGCTTCATTTGAAAACATGCCACTGAATTTGAAAGTTGCATGCATCTGTGTAGTTAATGAGATAAAAAGCTTTTGTGCCATGTGCAAACAATTTCCTTTTTTCCCCTAATGTCTATGAGCTTTTTAGATTATAGTGTTTCTTTAAAGGCATTTACTATTCTAGTTTAAAAGATATTTTGTTCTAAGTCAATATTTATAGTAGCTTAGAATTAACCTCCCCAAATCCTTCTGGTATGTTCAGACCTTATTGCCTTGTTTTGTTTTTGTTCGAGAAGTTTGGTTTAAAAAAAGCATGTTTTTCTCATTAATCCTCAGGAAAATGTAGGAAGTATGGATTATTTATTTGTCTTATCAAAGAAGGAAAATTGGGACGTAGTTTGTAGTGTCCTGCCCCTATCAACATTTGTGAAGTTTTTAAAAGGTAGACATTAATATGGATATATGTTGTTTGTTTTACGTGATTAAAAAAGAATTTGACAGTTGTTCCTCAGCCACACTCTGATGCATTTAGGGTCAAGGAACATGATATCCTCCACTTATTTTCAAATAGTCCCCCCCAGCAAATTATAACATAATTATGCGATTATGTATAATAATTATAAAATTATTACATAATTATAGAAGGCAAATGTTAATCTAGGTGAAGAGTATTCATGAGTTCTTCGCAGTATTCTTACAACTTTTCTATAAGTTTCCAGTTATTTCAAATTATCAAGGTAAAAAATAATTCTATAATCAAATGTTGACTTGGAACCATTGATTGTTTAAATGAGAAGTTACCTGAGGGAACATCTTTATCTCCCTATTTTTCCGTACATTACGATGAGATGCCCTGCTACCGATTAAATGTCTGCTTTAAATTGTATTTCTAACTGTGACGATGAATTTGCACTCTCATTCATACTGTTCCGTGTTGTTTCCTTTCTTGACTAGTGAGACAGCGTACTATACATGCAAAACATTTGGCAGAGTGAAAAGTTCCTCCTTACTATGGCAGTTTTTACTATGCAGTTTTTACTTTGGTTGAATAACAACATTCTCATTTTAGTGGCTCTATTTGAAAAATATGAAAGAAGAACAGAGTTGTTAATAGTGGATGTGAACCTTTACCAGTAAGTTAACATTTTTTTGAGAATGGGTATTTCCACACTGGGTTTAAGTGTGATTCTTCATGCCTTTGTTGTTGTTAGTGTCTTTTTTTTTTTCTCCTAGAAGTATAGAGGTTATATCATAATTTATGGTATTCTTTGATGAGTGACAGTGCTATTAATCATAACATATAATTCTGAATAAATTCTCACACCAGGGAAAAATAAATCAAATGTCCTATCACGGTTAACTTGAGCCAAATTTTATCGCAAGCGGAGAAGACGACTGTGGTTTTCTGAATAATTCCTTACTACTCCTTTAGCGACGAGAGCATTAATACTTATCCAGAACTATCTTCCGTTACTTAAATATCCATTATCCTTAAAAAGTCTGCCCAGCAGCTCTCGGCTGCTTTCATTGGAGGGTGGAGTTATCAGGGCACACGGCCGAGGAGACATCCGTCGGACCTGTAGGTGCTAACTCTGCACTTGTGCTGTTGCCGTGTGGTTTTACAGAGATTACGGGGAGGAGAGTTGGTTTTTGCTTTTTGCAATCTTCTCGGAAGGGTTACAAGGTTAACTCTGCGTATCTCTGTTATTGACCGGTATTGTTATTCAGAAGTTTGAATGCTTACCCCTAATGAGCAGTTTTCACCGTGCTGGCAAGGTAAAGGATGCTAACATCCCCATCTTCTAGATCAAGGCTTAGGGTTAGTAGGGCACTAAGGAGTTGAAGAACTTGTTTAAAATCTCGCAAATAATAATCAGTTTTCCTCGAACTGTTTTTTTTTCCCCTCCAATATTTGTGCATCACATATATACAGGAGAGCCCTTTCCTCCAGTCTCAAAATACAGCTGCCCAGTTGTCGCCTCTGACTAAATGTCCATCCGAACCTGTGTCTCAGGATTGAGCTAGTGGTCATCGCCCTCTGTTTCCTCATGTCCTGTCTCTGTTGGTCACTGCACTCATCATTCACCAGGGCCCAGAGCCTGGAAACTGTTCAAGTCCTTCCTCGACTCCTGCACCCGATCACTTACCAGGTTCTGCCCACCCATCTCCAGAGTGCCACTTCTCTCTTGCTTTTGTCATTCCAGAAACCTCTCACCCCCACCCCCCCCGCCCTTGGAGTCTAATACCTCCCACCCCCATCCTTCATGTGCATCCCTGCCCGGGCGGCTTTCCCGGCACATACCCCAGTCATCTTCCTCTGTTGTCCAAAAGCCTTCACGAGACCCAAACTACCCGTAGAATAAAGATCACGTTCCTTTTTCTGGAACTCTGGGATCAGGATGCAATTTTGCTAAACTTTCTACTGCTCTCCGTCCTGCGCCCTACTTTGCAGACAAATTGTTTTCTGGTTCTTAAGCACTTCCTGTATTACATCCATCTCCATCTCTTTGTCATCTGACCCTTCCTCCTGGACTTGACCACTCCCAGTCTCCAAGATTCCCAAACACCACGTAGTTACTCCAGTCTCCCCTGCGCACTTGACCTTGCGGTGAGCGGTCTCTCCTCTGACCTGCTGCCGCACTTTATCTGTCTGTGGCACTGATCACTTTCTATGGGCTAGACACAGCCATTATTCCCCCACTAAACTGTGAGCTCTTTTAGGTTATGATTTCTTTCTGATTTATTCCAGTGGCTCAGCCTTTTTATCACTGTACATTATATGTGAATATGTGTGGAAAGAACTAATCTGATCTTATAACAACTCCAGCCATGGAGGCAGGCAAGTAACATTAACTCCTTTTGAAAGGTCAGGAAACGGGCTCAAAAGGTTAAGAGATCCCCCATGGCCTATTGCTCTGCAGGGCCAGAACTCTAGCTGAAACGCCACTGCGTTTTGAATGCCTGAGCCAAATGTATCCCGTCGTGCCTTACTGTCTCTGCAAGTTGCTCACAGCAAACAAGCGAAGTAGAAGACATAAGCAGTGTGTGCAACAAGTCCCAAGAATTAAAAGTGTGTTATAAACATCCTTTAAAAAGTTGGCCTTTCTGTCATTTCTGAGGGTAGTAGTCATATAGTAACCCATCTCTGAATTTTCAGGGGTGGAGTGTGTGTGTATGTACACGAGAGGGAGGTGGAAAGAGAAAGACACCATCTACTCAGGTAGGAAAAGAACCAAGTAAAGAAACAGGAAATGCACAGCAAACTCCAGACCCTGAAGTTAGGGCCAGACCTCTGGGAAGCACAATAATAGTCAGTCTGCACACCTGCTGTCACGGGTGGCCACTCCTAAGAGAACGATGGTACACCAGTTTGGAAGACCCGAGGAAAACTTACTCTTCTAAATCCTGCGAATAATTTCCCCTTCTTTCCTAGAAATCCTGTTTGAAGTATTGTTTTTACCTGTTAGGTTTCATTACAGGCACTAACACTTCTTTCCTCTTCCTTTGCCAGAGGAAGAAGAGGAGCAGGTGCCCACGGACGGGGGCACCTCAGCAGAAGCCATGCAGGTCCCCCTGGAAGAAGACGATGAACTGGAGGAGGAGGAAATCATTAACGACGAGAATTTCCTGGGTAAGCGACCGCTGGACAGTCCCGAGGCTGAAGAAATGCCCGTCATGAAGCGGCCCCGGCTGATGAGCACGAAAGGGGACACCCTAGACGTGGTGTTACTGGAGGCGCGAGAACCGCTCAGCTCGATAAACACGCAGAAGATCCCACCCATGCTGTCACCCGTGCACGTGCAGGACAGCGCGGACCTCGCCCCTGCCTCCCCAGAGCCGCCCATGTTGGCTCCCGTTGCGAAGTCACAGCTGCCAAGCGCAAAGCCGTTAGAAACCAAGTCATTTGCACCTAAAACAAAGACTAAAACTAGCTCTCCAGGACAGAAGACTAAATCACCTAAAACTGCCCCGTCACCAGCAATGGTCGGAAGTCCTATTCGGTCACCAAAAACTGTATCCAAAGAGAAGAAATCACCAGGACGTTCTAAGAGCCCCAAGAGCCCCAAGAGCCCCAAGGTCATGACTCATGTTCCTCCAGTACCTGTCAGACCGGAAACACCAAACAGGACTCCTTCCGCTGCAATAAGCGAAAAAATCATTAAGGAGCCTGTCCCTGTGAAACCAACACAGGCGCCCACTGATGCCGGGAAACTGAGCAATGAGAATCAGCCGAGAAAGGCTGCCGTGGCGGATAAAACGATCGACGACTCTATCGATGCTGTGATCGCACGGGCCTGTGCCGAGCGAGAGCCAGATCCCTTCGAGTTCTCTTCTGGGTCGGAGTCCGAAGGAGACATTTTCACCAGCCCTAAGAGAATTTCAGGGCCGGAGTGTGCCACTCCAAAAGCCTCCACCTCCGCGAACAACTTCACCAAGTCGGGATCCACTCCTCTGCCCCTTTCGGGTGGGACCTCCAGTTCTGACAACTCCTGGACGATGGACGCCTCCATCGACGAGGTGGTCCGTAAAGCCAAACTGGGGGCACCTTCAAACATGCCCCCCGGCTTCCCCTACCTCTCTTCTCCTTCTGTGTCTCCCCCCACTCCCGAGCCCCTGCACAAGGTGTATGAAGAGAAGACCAAGCTGCCTTCATCCGTGGAGGTCAAGAAGAAATTGAAAAAGGAACTGAAGACGAAAATGAAAAAGAAAGAAAAGCAGAGAGACAGGGAGAGGGAGAAAGACAAAAACAAGGAGAAAAGCAAAGAGAAGGACAAAGTGAAAGAGAAAGAAAGGGAAGCCGGCAAGGAAGCGAAGTATCCCTGGAAGGAGTTTCTCAAAGATGAGGATTCAGATCCCTACAAGTTTAAAATAAAAGAATTTGACGATGTCGACCCGAAAGTGAGATTGAAAGACGGCATCGCGAGGAAGGAGAGAGAGAGGCATAAAGATAAGAAAAAAGACAGAGAAAAGGGCAAGAGAGATAAAGAGAAAAGAGAAAAAGAAAAAGTTAAAGATAAAGGGAGAGAGGACAAGATGAAAGCGCCACCAGCCCCCCTGGTGTTGTCCCCCAAAGAAATGGCCCTGCCTCTGTTCAGCCCGGCCGCCGCCGCCAGGGTTCCTGCCATGCTGCCCTCTTTGGCGCCGATGCTTCCGGAAAAACTATTTGAGGAGAAAGAGAAACCTAAGGAGAAAGAGAGGAAAAAAGACAAAAAGGAGAAGAAGAAAAAGAAAGAAAAAGAGAAGGAAAAGGAAAAGAAAGAGAAGGAGCGGGAGAAAGAGAAGAGAGAAAGAGAGAAGAGAGAAAAAGAAAAGGAGAAACACAAGCATGAAAAAGTAAGCAGTTTCTCATTTTCAGCACTTTCGAAACAAAGTCCTAGTGAAAAATGCGGGTAAACAAAGCCAGCCATTATATCTGTATTTGGGATGTGAACCGCCCATCACTTAACTGAAAATATATTTGTAGTGAGGTTACAAAATCTAATTTTAATTCTGAACCCCATAAACTTGTAATCAAGCCCCCAATGAACTAGAACATGTTAAAAATTCATAGCCTAAGAGGAATCTAATCACAGACTATAAACTCTCTATTAACCATACTAATTTCTGGCAGTTTTTAAAAATCTGTGATCTTATACTATGAACAGTATTTTTTTTTTTTTTTTGCTAATTATCAAGTCTGCTACATAATATTTCATACCCAAATATTAGATGCCCGAAACGGAAAGCATCCATTTTTGTTAAGTGCAAAACCAAGGCACTGTTTTAAGAGGATGGCAAGGCCCATGAAAGGGCTCCGTTTTCTTTTTGGTGAGCCGTTTTGGCGTGCATCTGGGATTATGGCTATCTGCCGAGCTTTCATTAGCATCTCTTATTCCTTCCATGTTCTGCTTCAATGAGATTAGGACACGTTTCTGAGTATCTAGGCTCATCTGGCAGCCTGGTTGGTGGACGGAAGGTGATTCCACATAGCAGGAGTGTTTTCCCACGTAGGTGGGTCAGACTTCATAGGGTATAGCCTGAGAGCTGGTGGAGACCCCACAGTTTTGTAAGAACCAGAACCTCAGCCCTGGGCAGGCAGGGGCTGTGAGCTCTGCTTTCGTGGCTTTGCTTTTCAGTCCTCGGTTCTCTGGGTTATGTACGTGGACTGGTTGATTTGAAATTTCTCTTAAACTTTCTTAAAAAGTATTTGTTGGTAGTTCCATCCCTTAGAGATCCTTTCCCTGCTCTCTAGAAGCTACCCTCTTTGTTTGAACTTGGCTACAAAATATAATACTCAGTAATTTTTCCCACATGATAAAATATAATGTATTCGACCTACAGCAGATAGTATTAACCAATAATCGTGCAAAGTTTTTTACTTCAAACTTACCTGGAAAATTAATTTAGCTGACAGCAGTAATGTCAACTCACATTTTTCTGCCTAACTTTATTCTTTCTTTGTCCTCCTTGGGTATTCTCAAATATGAGGAAGTAGAATGAAAATTCTGGTTATCCATAAGTGAACATTAGCAAATTAAGACACAGAAATCCAACTCTTATTTCCACTTAAAAATCATTTTTTTTGAGACAGAGTCTCACTTTGTTGCCCAGACTAGAGTGAGTGCCGTGGCGTCAGCCTGGCTCACAGCAACCTCAATCTCCGGGGCTCAGCGATCCTCCTGCCTCAGCCTCCCGAGTAGCTGGGACTACAGGCATGCGCCACCATGCCCGGCTGATTTTTTGTATATATATTTTTAGTTGGTCAATTAATTTATTTCTATTTTTGGTAGAGACGGGGCCTTGCTCAGGCTGGTTTCAAACTCCTGACCTTGAGCAATATGCCTGCCTCAGCCTCCCAAAGTGCTAGGATTACAGGCGTGAGCCACCACGCCCAGCCTTAAAAATCATTTTATCATTATATTATTATGTTATTTTTATACAGCACTTGTCAGGTTTTAAAGCACATCCATACACCTTATTTTCTTCCCCTAACACAACTGTGACGTGGGTCTAGCGGGTGTTATTTTCAACATTTATGGACAAGAAAATGAGCCTGAGAGAGTGACTTTGCCCAAGATCAGGATCACACGACCAGCAAGAGCCAGGTCATGTACATAGCAGAGACTTTGCACGTTGAGGTGTTTATTGTTAGAGAAGTCACCTGACAGTGTGATTAGTCATCTATCACGTACCTAGTAACCTGGCAGCTGAGTCCTCTGCGAATCCAACAGGGTACTGTTGCTTTCGTCATCTTCGCTTCAGAAAGCCAGCGGAGTTGTTTAAGTAGCCGTCATGAACTTGAGCGAAGCCCACCAGATTAGGTTCGTAACAGCAGTCTGTGCCTGTCTCAGCATCCGCCTGGCTTTGGGCAAGAACAGTTCCTCATACTAGCCTGGTGGGAGGCAATGGCTCAGTTACTAGTAGCACAGATTTCACCTGGCAGGAGAATGCAAGTCCTTGTGTCACTTCTGATGGGTAGACCAGAGAAGTGATAGAAGATAAAAAATTAACAAAAGTCAGTTATAAGACCTTCAGAAATAATAAGTAATATCGTCTATAGAGTTAGACCTGAGTTCAAATCCTGACTTTCGTGAAATTGGGCAAGTTGTGTCTATGATGATTACATGAGATGTCAATACCAGCAAGACGTGCTTGGGACTGTAACCAACACGTATGTAAATGCTCACACATGGTGGTTCATTTTGAATCAACCTATAAAATGTAACAAAACCTAGAGGTCCCTGCTTCATTAGAGTTCACTGCTTCATTGGACCATGCTAGCTAACCTACGTCAATATGGGTGAGTCAGCTGCTGCCAATGGCTTTTAAAAATCATTTCTACTTGGCCAGGCGAGGTGGCTCATGCCTGTAATCCTAGCACCCTGGGAGGCCGAGGCGGGCGGATAGCTTGAGGTCAGGAGTTCGAAACCAGCCTGAGCAAGAGCGAGACCCCGTCTCTACTATAAATAGAAACAAATTAATTGGCCAACTAATATATATAGAAAAAATTAGCCGGGCATGGTGGCGCATGCCTGTAGTCCCAGCTACTCCCAGCTACTCGGGAGGCTGAAGCAGAAGGATTGCTTGAGCCCAGGAGTTTGAGGTTGCTGTGAGCTAGGCTGACGCCACGGCACTCACTCTAGCCTGGGCAACAAAGTGAGACTCTGTCTCAAAAAACAATAATAATAATAATAATTTCTACTTCCTTGGCATTCTTTTAAATTCTAACCCTTTATACGAACAGGGAAGAAACAGGCCCCTTGTGATGCCATGGCAAGTAGTAGAAATTGGAATATCAACATAGACAATAAGATTTGTCTTTTTTCAGCTCCACTTAATGCCCCCAGTATCAAGCCATATGAGTAAGCAGATGTGTCCCTGAAATGCGGTTACAAATGGTCCAAGAATTTTCTCAGGTATCGAGAGAAATAAGGCAACAAGGAAGAATAAAAGTGAGGCACATGTAAGCTGCCACAAGAAAATGTCTTCTGTCAAAAAAATTAAGGCCCCAATTTCGTCCTCTCTTCATGTCATCCTGAGCAACTCTTACAGACATTGACTCAGACCAGCAAGCAGGAGTGGGGTTTTTTTCTCAATTTAAAAAGAAATCCCACATTTATTTTGCCTGCTTATAAAGTTTTTACCATCCGTACCCACATTTATCAATACCAACAACCAATAAAGGTATCATTGATTAAATAGGAATTTGCATTGCAGGTGGAAGGGACTTTGGCTTTGGAATCCAGCAGACCTGGATTAAGGTCCAGGACGAGTGTTTTAGCTTCTTTAATCCTTAAGTATTTCACCTTTAAAGTAGCAATGATGATAACACTAAAAACAGCAAAGCAGTGATAGTTAGCACTGAGCAATCACCATTTCTAAACACCATGCTAAGCACTCAGTATACGTTTAATTCCTTACCACAGCCCTTTAAGGTAGATACTGTAATTATTGTCACTTTAAGATGAGAATCCGAGATGTAGATAGATAAATAGACTTGCCCAAGATCACACACCTAGTAAGTGATTGAACAGGAGCCAGAATTTCAACCCCGGCTATCAGATGCTATAATTTGTGGTCCTAATCACTGCACTTTCCTATACTGAGTTAAAGATGGGATGGGGCTGGGCGCGGTGGCTCAGGCCTGTAATCCAGACATTTTGGGAGACCAAGACAGGGGATCGCTTGAGCCCAGGAGTTGGAGACCAGCCCGGGCAACATAGTGACATCCCATCTCTATAAAAAATAATTAGCTGGGTGTGGTGGCACAAATCTGTAGTCCTAGCTACGTGGGAGGCTGAGGCAGGAAGATGGCTTGAGCTCAGGAGTTCAAGGCTGTACTAAGCTGTAATCATGCCACTGGATGATGGAGTGAGGCCCTGTCTCTAAAAAAAAATAAATAAATACAATTTTTGAAACAATGGGGTAAGTGAAGTAATGTATGCAAGGCATTTGGGTGAGTGAAACATCATCAGGAGGCCAGATTGTTTTTCTGCTAGTGGTGATAATCCAAAAATAGTGGTTTATTCGTGAGCTTTTAGTTCCCCTTTGTGGGCAGCCATACACCTTAGCATTAGGAGTGTGGTCTGTCACTTATTTAAAAGAGAGCCACACTATCTTTTTCTAAAAGACACGTTAAGAGCAATTATGTTGACCAGTTGCAAACATAGCCATAATAGTTTTAACAATGATAAACCTAACAGTACATTTTAGGGCAGCTTAGAATTTTTGTTAAAATATTTGTTTTTGTGCGTGACAGTGTATCTATTGCATGACTTAATTTATTTCAAACTGTTGATCTTTGGGGTTTAGATAGAGTGTACAGAATTATTTTAATTAAAATTCCTCTCAATATTTTAAATGTATTTTGGAGAGAAGATCATTGTGAAGAAATAAATACGTCTTGTTATTTTTGTTAGTGGAATGGGACAGTTGTACCTATAATCTTAAATAGAAGGTAAACCGAAACCCATATGTCCAACTTGGGAATATGTTTTTATATTTTAATGTACTCTTATTCAAATATAATCTGGAAGGGAACAGTAGAGTCTCACCCCCAAAAAACGATGACATCACCACCTGGGGATAAATAGGCCTCGTGTGAGCCCACAGAGAGTGTGGGCTTTGGCAGTCCCACTGATCTGGGTGGACATTCTAGCACTGCCGCGTCCTCCTTATTCATCGGCCTCCCTCGACCCCTCGGACTCTCTGCTTCCTTCTGCCATCTCCTTCCTCCCATTCAATCCTAGGAAGAGAGAGCCTCTTTTTTTTTTTTGAGACAGAGTCTCACTCTGTTGCCCGTGCTAGAGTGCCGTGGCATCAGCCTAGCTCACAGCAACCTCAGACTCCTGGGC